AGGAAAAAAAATTATTTCCTATCTTGTTCATTTGCGGTTTTGCAGCTGAAGATGATGGTTCGGTAAAACCATCGAAACTAGTCCTGTGAAAATTTTGTGAATTAACGCTGATTTTTGTTGTTTGACTTCTGAATCAGTATAATAAACATTGCTGCGATGAGAACTTGAAAATTATTTGCAAAGTATATAAATGCGCTAACACTAGAATAATAAAATGCGTTGAGATATGCGTTAGAATTAAAAGCGAAAAAACAAATCGTCTATTCTCATCGCCAAAACGCGAGAATCACGTGATAACTAAAACTAACCTGCACTCGTACTAGCAACGCCTTCTGCATCAACTGAAATTTAATAATAACATCTAGTTATTTGAGGCAGCCTCCAAAACGTTTGAGGTCTCAAATGAACTCCAACGGAAAAAATAATGCATATACATTTCCCCTCCATAGGATCAATGGATGTCGGGAATGTCTATAATGAGCGATTGAATTGAGTGCGTATGATCTGCCCCTATGAAGATGTATTTCGCCCTCAAAGCACCGAGACAATGAGTAGTTGATCTAGAAAGTGGCTATCTTGATGCAAAATGGAAAAATTAGAATAGAAGAGCTCCTGGCTCCGGGCGTCAAGAGCTAAATTTTAGCAACGAAGAATTTCTATTTGATGTGAAACTTAGTCATATGAATTTTCATTTAAATTGCATCAGCTGCGCATTTACCTAAAACGAGCAAAAGTAAATACCATAGGAAGAGAAACAATAAACCAAAACGCTGATTTTTGCATAAATCTATACTGTCGCATTTACAACGTACTCGCTTTACCTCACTACAGGGCCATATCAAATAGAAAGAATCAGTAACACTAAAATGAAATTAGGATATGTTGTTTAAAGTGATTTTATAAATCTGCCTAGCAACGACATTCTTCAGATTTGGCATAATAATGTGAATTGTTGAATGTAAAAAGTATTATGTTTATAATAAAGCTATTCTTATGATTTTGGAATTTAATTAAAGCAAACATACAAGATTCTTCTTTAATATTTCTAGGAGACTTAATTTATATATTCTCAAGTTGAACTTTCAATTGGATTTCAGTGGTTATTCGACTGAAATTTGGCTCAAGACTATAATTTCATTTAATTTTGTTTAGTAACATTCAGTCGAAGGTAACTTACACAACGGCAAATAATGCATATATAATTTTTTAATATAGTGAAATTTAATTTTGTTAAAGTTTCAACATTATAATTAACACAGAAAATAAGTTGAAAAGTATTACGAACTGAATTCATCAAAATGCTTAAAATTAAACATTGGAACATAGATGCTTGATATAGGATTGGTTGTGATTAAAACATTAAATTGTCTGTTATTTACTTACAGGATTGTAATTAATCCGTAATGTTCTTATGCCTATAGCCCTATTAGACGCGAAAGGTATTATCCCTATGTCTGAGAACAGCCACAAAGTCATAAGAAGGTTATAAATATATTTTTATTTAAACAGAACGCTCTTCTGCTGCAATAACCAAAACTCGTGGTGGTACAAATAAATATAGCAGACAAATTTAAATGAAACGTTTAAGCACTATATTAAATACTATACTAGAAAGTCGCTCAATAACTTTGCCGTCGAGACATATTTAAAGTTTGGGCAGCGGAAGACCGCAAAGCCGAATAATTACAGCTGCCAGGAATTAACCACGTAACTGAGCACGCGATGCCAGAAACACTCTATCTTAAGTACAAAACCTTAAGCTTAAATACTCAAAACCAATTTGTATTCTTGTGACGAATATAGAAAACAGAAGTTATAATAAAGACTGAAATCACAATAACTGGCTAATTAGCATAAAATACCTTGCGTACTTATGATTCGAATTTTTTAAACTACTTTGTAGATGTAAAATTGTTTCATCACTTTAGTTTCGTGTACTTATTTTTTGGCAACTTTAAATACACTTTGCATTTTTCTTTTAAATAAATTTTTAAAATATATCTTGCATAAATGTCAAATAAAACTCATAAAATCGCCGGAATCACGGGAATATAAAGTATTTTCAAATACACTTTGAATATGATGCAAAAAGATTATTTAAATAAACGCTAATTAAATATAAGTTATTAATTTTTTGATATTATGAGTTTTAAGCTTTACTACCTTTCTTTTAAAAAAAATTCAATATATGATATACGAAATTTCTAACTGATGAGATTAAAATTACAATTCTCCTTATAAATCGGCATTGTTTTACTTTTAAAGAAGCTAAAAAGCCAGAAAGCTCCCTCCAAAGAAATGCTGATTTACAGTTTGTTTTCAAATTAATGTCGATGAGACTCTTACGGAAGAACGTTTTGAATACCGTGTATTTAAGAGAGAAGTAGTGTTTAAAATATGTTATGCCAGATATCTCAAACTAGCCGCATGCGGCACAGAAGAAATTTTATGCGGCTGCGAATACATTTCAATTATGCAGTTGTTAGAAAGATTCCAAGATTTCGGTTATTTGAAATTTCAGTTAACATTTTTACTTCCTTGTACGAAGTAAAAAGGAAGTATTGTAATCGCGAAAAGTTTCAGGCAGCATATTTCAACGAAAATATCCATTTTGACCGCTATCGAATGCAATTTAACGATGTTTTTGCGTGATATCTGTACTTAAGGACAGAATAAAAGACTCTTTCCCTCCAAAAAAATTATAACACTGCTTTAAAATGAATTCTGAAGAGAATTTTTCGCGGCGTCTGTACGAACGTATCTACGTGCGTACGTATCTCGCATAACTCAAAAACGAGTAGCCTCAGAACGTTGAAATTTTGTATATAGGACTGCTATAACATGTAGATGTGCACCTCGTATTTTGGTTGCAATCGGCCGCGCCAAACGTATATAAATATATTTATATATGTATCCACTCTGTTACCCGGCTCAGTGATCTCAGTTTCTTTACGCTTATATGTTTCTAAATTGTACATTTTTTGCTTTAAAAATGATTGAATTATGTTGTTTTTATCTTCCGGTTAGGGATTTTATGCCTTTAGTAAATATGTGTGCAATATTTTTAGAATTATCAGCAATTTTAAAGTTGTTTAAGTGCCGCTAAGCCTAATAATGTTTTTGATGGCGGCCATTGCTCTTGTTTACATTTGAAACAGCAGGTTAGCGGATTTGTTGCCAATCTAGAGAAACTTAGCTTCGCAACAACAAAGATAACGCCTTCATTTATTATTTAAATCATGCTTAATCCTTTCTGGAATTTTTTCGAGGAAATAAGCGTTTAAGATTTACTTCGTAATTTTTAATACAGATATTTTGAGTTTATGTATTTTTGTCTTGTCGCGAAGTGAAAACTGAATTAATTGAATGAGAAATAGTCAATCGTCTGTGAAAAACTGTTTCTTTTTTGTTTTGTTTGCTTAATTTCTTTTATACATAGTTCTAAGAACATGTGGCAACGATTAGATAATTCTTTAAATGATATAAATTTTGTACATTCTGAATTATAATATGAACGAAATATAATACTGTTAAGTAAACGTAGCGCCTGAGTGTCGCTATGGTAAACAAGGTGAATTTTAAAGCATGCATTTATTCTATTGTGGTTTATGCGCTGTCGGCGAAGTAGGTTTAATTCAGTCTAATAAGTGTAAATGAAATGCAAGAAAAAATGCGTATAATTTAATATTCCGTACAAGGAAGTCATGTGGTGTACACATCAGATTTTTTTCATTGCCATGACAAACGAACATGAATAACGCACCAGAAAATCTATAAATGAAGCTATTTAATTTACAGTGCAATATAAATTTTATTCAAAGATTTGAAGATACAGATTTTCTTAATATTGATTCTTATTTGTCAAGAAATAAATAAGCTCAGTAGCGAATATTTGCACTAAGAATAATCACTTTATTTGGGAATATATTCATATAAAAACATCTCTTTTCCACTGTTGAAATTAATAAGAGAAGAACTCGTTTGGCCGGCAAGCATCTTATGAAGGTAATTTCTAGTAATTTCTCTCCGAGGCTACAGACTTTATCAGAATGGTAACGCCATCAAGCCTCATGCTGTAGTGAGAAATAAAGAACTTATAACAATTTACATACTGCCAATGTAATTTTTTTTCTGCTTATTACGAATATGTTGATAAATTAAAATTATGTTTAATTTCTTATTATTTGTTGATCAAGATAAGAGAGAAATAATTTAAAGTTGCATAATCAGGTACTCGACATTTATAGTCAAATTCTGAAAGTTTATTACTCATGGCGCTTACGAAACTTAATTTAACTTCTTAATTTGAGTAGCTAAATCAATAAGGACTGCATTTATTCATTATTCATGCTTTTAGGGAATTACAGTAATAATGATTCGGAAAATTCTGATTAGCTCCACATTTAAATATGAAGTGTTTTATGAATAAGTTCGTATTATATATGCATGACTTCTCTTCATTTTAAAAACAAAATGTTGTAAGTCTGGGAAGAGAGAAGTGAATACATTCATACTTTTATTTTGAATGTATTAGATGAATTTTTATTTACGCGTCGAAGAAAAATTTGATCAATTAGAACAACAATCTAGGTTGTCAGTATTTATTCTCAAGTTTTATCCCATTAGAAAATTTACTCTGAAAACTTAGTAAGTTTTCACAATACCTTTATTTTTATTTTAAGTATGTTATTTAATGATAAACACGTACGAATTATTTGAAATAAATGTCAGCCTAAAAGTTTAATAATTGAAATACAAACTGTAAAGAACAAAAATGTCTTTCAGTTTTAGTTTCAGTTCGCCAAAGTTTAGATTTCAGATGGAACATAAATGCAAATTTGATTTTTTCCTTTGAGATATTTTTATTATTGTTTATACATGTTTATGCAAATATTAATCGAGCAAAGTTAAATAGTTATTAAAGTATATTTTATTTTGTTCATAAATACTTTTATTTCGTTAAAAACAAATTCTTCTCTGTCTCCATTTTCAGATCGTACGTTCAGCTAGCCGCCCGTAAATTCAGGTTGAGTTTACTGTATTAAGTATTCATCTCTTCAATAGCAAATTAAAATATAAAAATATCTAAAAGGTAAGGAAAATTTTTCTTATAATTATAATTCTCTTTCTTAAAAATATAGATACATGGCAGGCTAATTTAAATTTAACCTTTTACAGATTGGTTTCTTCATATTTTTAAAGGGAATGTAACTTATGTAACTCTGTACACTAAATACTTTCAAAGCATAAAACATATCTGCATCAAAAGCCGACACATATATAAATAAGCTTTCGTGCAAAGCTATATTTAGAGTTAAGTATCGATTACAGTTGCATCTTAACAAAATGGTGTTTGTTTTAAATATCGATTAATAATAATATAAAATCGATATTTGCAAAATAAAGCTAGTCAAGTTAAAATCATGAGTAAACTATCATGAATTCAATATACATAATACAAGTATTTCATTGCTGTGTGAGGCTTCGTTATCGAAAGAAAGGCACATTCCTTTATTTGGAGTCAATGCACCTTGAATATAAATAGCATATTTAAAAGTATGAATGTATTCACTTCTCTCTTCCCAGACTTACAACATTTTGTTCTTAAACAAAAGAAGTCATGCATATATAATACGAACCTATTCATAAAACACTTCATATTTAAATGCGAAGCTAATCAGAATTTTCCGAATCATTATTACTGTAATTCCCTAAAAGCATGAATAATGAATAAATGCAGTTCTAATTGATTTAGCTACTCAAATTAAGAAGTTAAATTAAGTTTCGTAAGCGCCATGAGTAATAAACTTTCAGAATTTGACTATAAATGTCGAGTACCTGATTATGCAACTTTAAATTATTTCTCTCTTATCTTGATCAACAAATAATAAGAAATTAAACATAATTTTAATTTATCAACATATTCGTAATAAGCAGAAAAAAATGACATTTAGATAAAAAATAACATTTATGTTCCCTTTCGATAATAGATATGCAATTTACTATGAGACCATATCCAAACGAAATTATTCTAGTATGCAGCTTACTACACTTGAAAATCGTAACTGGAGGACGTTAAAAAGACATTTATAAATTTTAACTGGTTTGCTTTCGGGGTGCTTAAAGTATTGATCAGTTCTCACTCTCTGACAGAGTATTTGTTTGAAGCAATTAACACAAAGTTGCTTTAGGTTCCTTAATTTTAAAAACATACGAGCTAACATATTCATGAAAAAAAGTAAAGAGAAGATATCTGGAGCACTTTCTTTCAGCATAAACTGAGAGAACCTTATAAGGATTACATACCGATATCTTAGCAATTTCTCATTTCCATGATTAAGTGATTAACAATAATTAATCCTAGATAATGAGGTTTCAGGGGATGAAGAGCTTACGCATCTAACATAAACAATACGTCTCGGTGACTAGAGTATTCTTGACCAAGAGGAACAATTATACATACTAGTTCTGGAATTGTATTGATCAGTTATTAACTTTTATTGATCACTACTCCAACTGTTCCATTTAACAGGAATAAATTTTACTCATTCAAAATAAATTCAAAATTCATCAAGCTTTTATTACATATGAGACTAAGTTATGCTTAATTAAAAGTGCCTGGTGATTTTTTTCCAAATGTACTAAACTGCTTCTTCATTCTTTTATTCATGATAATTTGCTTCTAATTCATACGTAATCTAAATTCATTTTTTTCTTTTCTTTAGTAGCAACCGTTTCACCTTCTATCTGATTTAAAAAAAAAATAAAAAAATTCTAGCCTGAAAACCATTCTAGGCCAAATAGTGTTTCTATCTTTGCAAACACAGTTCTTTACATAAAAGCGTTCGAAGTTTCATCCTGTATTCAATGACCACAAGATATAAAGGCGTAGTGAAATCATTGACTCGATACATGATCTAAGATAGTCTGTGAACATTTCATTTATCTGATAGTTTCTTCATCTTGGGAATTTTCCGCTTGGTGGGTCGACGGCCTCTGTGTGATCGGATTAATGTTCTCATCACCATTCACGGAAAAGGCATTGTCATGTTCCGCTGCTGCCCTGTCTTCGATCGACTGAGGCTGTGGAAAGAATGAATAAATAAATAACTCTTCCATTTAAAACATAAGGAAAGTTAGATACTAAGCTATAATGGTTTAGCTCAAACGTATTAATTTAATTCAATTACATATTTCAAACATCAACAGCACGTTGGATCAGATAGAATTTTAAAATAAATTAAAATTTCTTTCAAAAATTAGTTTATGTCTAAACTTCTTCCAGAAAATTACTTATCGGGAAAAAAAGAACTCTATAACATTGCTAAGTCCGGAGGTTTTGTTATTTTCAGAATATTCCAAACATTAGTGAATCTATCTGTATACAAACAATATTTCCTCCTCTATTTAATAATTTTAAGCAAATATATGAAGCTATGTATATCATTATAGAGAAAGAGTGTTTTAATGCAAAATAAATTAAATTCATAACTAACTTATTGCAAACAGATTCATTTAGACTTTAAAACATATTCTTCCAGGGATGTGTTGCTTCAAAATCAGGGGTTACTAAATATAAATTATTTTTACATATAAAACAAGCTAAAAAAGTGATAACTAAGAGAAATATTATTAAAAAGGTATGAATTTCATTTATCACCAAATCTAAAACGAATTGTGAACATCACATTGTTCAGTTACACAATTAAAAATATTACAAATGATCTGCAGAAACACGTCCAATTAATCCATCAGATAAGAAAAAGACATAAAATCAGAATTGCTGAAAGAAAAGAAGTTTGAAATAGACATTGAATCAAGTCCAGGAATGGCAAATTTGGCTCCAAGTGATTTTTGGTGTTCACAACCGACAATAGAGGATTTCAACGCGCAAACACAACTTAGTCGTGAATCATGGAAACAAACGGTCGTGACTTCTTTAGTGTCATAGTTGGCAGTGGTGTGGTGTGGTGTATTTAATTATGGCAAAGCACACGAGGGCTATCTGCCTAAGGGAAGTGATGCCTTCTTGGAGGACTATCTAAGGGAAACTGGCTCGTATACACGTTACACATGGGGAAAAACACGAAAACGCCCATGCAGCCAGCCCGTTCGCGGGATTCGAACCTCGCACCGAACTACCAGTATTCAGCGACTTTACCGCTCTGGGGCCATAGTTGGCAAAGACAACTCGCTTTCCGTGCCAGTCGGAGTGGAAAATCGAAATCCTCGGGGCGTTCACTTTTAATCCTCGGTTTAATAATACATAAGTTGGAATTCCTGTTTGCCTTGTTTACTATTTAATATTCATCATAGTGGTAACATTGTACTATCGTATCTAGAAAGAATATCAATGCTTCTTAATATTTTCTTTCTGTTCAAAAATGGGAATACCATCTTACTGTATTTTAAATTATAATTGGCTACTTGTGCACTTCTTTTGCATTATACAGCCCATTAAAATAAATAGTAAACGAAAAGTTCAAAGATTTAACCATTTGTTACTTTTGTAGCTTTTTGATTCATTTGATTACTTTTTACGGTGGATAAATGTTATTGCTTAATATGAATTTATTAAAGAGGATATACTGGAGAAACATTTTTTAACTTAACGCAAAAGATATGAAACAGATGGTCCCCAAAATAGTAACTTGGATAAAAGGAGAAAAAGGGTCTTAAAGCTAAATTGAGAGCTCAAGGAAAGGTTTTTGAAAAGTGCATATTAAAATCATAAGCAGTAATTTTTGCATTATTCAATATAAGCCATATTTTAGCAAAAGTAAAAATACGCAGTTGTCCCAAAATACAGTAATGTTGATCGCTTGGATAAAGTGTATGAAATCAAGATGTGAGTTAAGCATATCGGTCTGAGGTGACCATATACCATATTAAAGAGAATGTTTTTATACAGGAGGTGACTAATTTTTTCCATCATTTTCCAATTTCCAAAATGTGGTTTTAATTTTAATATTTTGTGAGTAATCAACTTCTAAACATTATGTTTATGTGAACTGATGCTTTTGTACAAATTCCTATTAATAATTTTTCGTTATTTATAATTTTTATTCCTGTCATTATCCTTTAATTTTGATGACCAATGTATTTTCGTGTAAACGTCAACGACCTCAAAATCAATGATAATGCTTGATCTCTTAAAACATTAAATCAATAACTATTTAGCGAACACTTTTTCTTCCACATTTCCAAATATTGAGGAAGTTGCCGAAATACACTGGTGTGCAAAACTTAAGCAACAATGTAAATTTTAATCAGATAGCCATAAAATTGTAGAAAAGAGGTTCTTGCGTTCAGTACAATGAACGCACAATTCAGTAGAGAGGTCATGCGTGTGCAAATGTCAAGAAAAAAGCGTCACAGGATTCGTGAGCGTATACAAAACGCGTACGGTCGGCGAGCTCAACTCGAGATTACCATAAAAGGAAGGATGGAGATGCAATTAAAGACATTCGCTGCAAGTACAAGGAGTTCTTTCGTGAAATATGTGGCTAGAAGAAATGATCTGGATGACTTCACACGTAGAAGAATGATCGAAAATCTGGAGTAGGGGCGAAGTGTCACCAATCTAGCTGAAAAGTTCGAAATCAACAAAAGTGGCGTTTCGCGCGTTTAGAAAGCCTTCCATACCATAGATACAGCTATTAGAAAGGTTGGTGGTGGCCGTCCCAGGAAAACAAATGCAACAACTAACCGATATATAGTCTTGCAGTCGAAAAGAGTCCGAAACCAGTCAGCAAGCGCCACAGCTCAACAACTGTAAACAGCAACGGGCGACAATTGTCATGATTTAATGTGTCCAAATACCTTCACAAAGGTGGCCTATGCTCCTGCCGTCCTCAACGCTGCATCCCTTTGAAAGTTGGCCATCGGCATCACCATTTACAGTGGTGCAAGGAGCGCAAAAACTGGGCATCTCATCAATGGAGTCATATCCTCCTTACGGATGAGAATCGTTTTAGTGCCACAAACGATTCTCAACACAAATTGATTTGGAGAGAGATCGGGACATGGTTTAATTTCAGTAACATTACGGAAAGAGACCGTTACTGTGTCCTGAAGATCTCGTCTGGAGAGGCATTATGCTGAACGGGCGGACGGAGCTCCACGTTTTCGACAGAAGTTCTGTAATCGGAGATCGCTATCGTCAGGAGGTGATCCTTCCCCATGTGCGTCTGTTGCGAGGTGCCATTGGAGCAGACTTCGTTTTATGGATAATAATGCAAGGCCACATCGGATTCTTGCTGTTCAGAAGCTAGTGAAAAGTGAAGATATCACTCGAATGGATTGGCCAGCGTGCTACCTTGATTTAAACCCCATAGAACATGTGTGGGACGCTTTGGGGAGACGTTTGTGACACTATTACATCCTCCAGGGAACACCCAGCAACTGAAACAGATGCTGACTGAGGAATGGGCAATCTTACCTCAAGATCTGTTGCAAAATCTGGTGCTGAGTATGGACAGACCGTACGAAGCAACCATTGCAGTAAGGAGAGGGTATATCCCATACTAAGGAACACCCGCTTGTTGTTCTTCCTCTTGTACGGACAATCATGTGTAACAATACTATGAGTTCAATAAAGCCTGTTTTTGTTTGATTCCATACTGTATACATTGTATTCATTTTTAGAGCAATTATGCTCTCGTCATCGTTTAAATACAAAATTCTCTCGCTTAATTCTGAATTTCATGTCTCTCAGATGATTTCTCGTGGAGTTATGCCAAAAAGAACACCTGTTGCTTAAGTTTTGCACACCAGTGTAAATTCGAAACTGAATAAGCTATGAGCCGCAGTAGTAATTCTACGTTGCGTTTAAATGGACGTTTTAACGTCTGGACTTGCAGATAAACAGGCACATTTATTTGGATTTTGTGAATACTTTATTGAAATCCATTGGGTTCAATACAGGATGCTATCGACTAATTTAACTGTGATAATTCGGCGTAGATAATCTGAGAACAGCGTAGATACATCAGATGGCACAACGGAGAAGAAAAACATAAACAGAGGTGGCGTTGGTTCGTTTACTCGTTGGTAGAGTTTTATTTCATTTTTAATACAGGTTCACGTATCATCATTATGAGTGCTCTATGCAACCTGCAATTATACAGCTTACATCTTTACATAGGGCCTGTGCAATAGTGACAGCAGTATTTAAGGATTTTTTGAGCTCTGCGATTGTATAAGAGCCATACGCAGTATAGGAGGGTAAGATGACATAATGCGGATTAGTTTTCAGATATGATGGTGTTTCGATTCCAGGAAGGGGACTCAAGTCAAATTAAAGTTAATAATTTTTAGTTTCATATTTTTTTATTTTACACACATTTCAGATTTTTTTTTTATTTTACACACACACACACACAACCACACACATTAGTATATAGAAAGAGAGAGAGAATTTGGCCACTCCTGCTCGAGGCAAAAAATGGAATACAGTCCTTATAGCTGCAGCTGTCTAACATTAAATTTTATTCCATTGTCATGACTAACACAGTTGATCTTTATACACACTGTGATATGGGAATGAATATGGCTTTATTCGAGAAAATAACACTATTGTAAGAAACTATACATAATTCTTTCTTAACAAAGTTTTCCCAAAAGTGACTTAAAATGGTTCTCCACGAACTTTGTTAATTTTATTAACATCGATAATTTCTTAATTTTTCAGCGAATGTCCATGAAGTCATACATATAATATCTCAGCATTCACCTAGCTGTTTTTAAATTGCATTTTATGTAGAATTTTCTATAACGGTTGAAGTATTTATCAAATACGTATTTACATATAAAAATAATAATAAATGCATATCCATATAATATTTATATATAAAATTTTAATGTATAATTTAATTATTTTGTAACATCGTAGATTCATTAGGTTTACCGAAATAGGAATCATGAGAAATTAACAATGAATACGGGATTCGGAAACCGGCCTTTCCGACTAAGAGCCGGACTTACTTTCATGTTATACAACAAAGGAATATGGTAAACAAGAGAAGGTTAGTTCAAGTTATTTAAATATGGAAAAACATTTAAGGGCCATCGGCCTAATGAGAGGAATGCCTTCAAAGGTATTTCCTCCGCCTTCTTAGCATGCCTTCGTGGTGTAGTGGTCAGCACGCTCGGCGCGTATTCTAGAGGTCCGAGGTTCGAGTCTCATCTCCTGCTTTCAAAAAGTACTTAATATCTCTAAAGCCTTCGTGGAGAACTTTCTAAGTGAAACTTGCTCGTATACACATTACATATGGGAAGATCTACGAAAACCAACCATTAAGCTTGGGATCGACACGCAGAACGAACTACCAATATTTAGAAGTTTTTAAATGCTCGACCACAGATGGGGCGTAAGAAAAATAGTGGTTGCTTCTATATTGCTAAATGTCGAAACGAAATCACATGAAAGCATGCCTTGAGAAATGTAACTAGGGTCAATATTCCTTAATATCTATCTAAGACTACTTAAGCTATCTGCACAAGCGCCATTGCTTTAATTTCTTTTTCTTGTTACGTTACCTATATTGTCTTCGAAGCAAAAAGGAAATGTGAATTGAGTGGCAATTATATATCCATTGAATTTTAATAGATGGCTTATCCAGACAGTACATATTGCGTTTTACGCAATTAGCAACTCCTTTTCTTAAGCTAAATATTTTAAAGTATAATTACAAACCGGAGGCTAGTTTTGCTAACTAGAAAACTTCGTTTGTATTAGAGAAATTTTAAATTCCATAACTGAGAACAAAAAAGAATATTTTTACATTATTCTGGCATCAGAACATTTTTATACTCTGTAATTTGCAATTTCCTTCTGCTTTTTTCCCTTAAGCAATGTAAACTTTTGCAATATCAATGTTTGCATATTTAATAGAAACGTCGCGCAGAGGTTGAGAACTTAAGTTTTTGCTAAAAATGTTTGTTTACGAAATCATAAATATGAAACAGATGCTTTCAAAACGACAGACTTCACTTAATTCTCGTAATAAAATATTATACTGAATTAATAAACTATATAGGAGTTATTTTATAACTAATACTTCAATTTGCTTTAGATACGCTTTGTATACTACAGTTTTTCGCCCTTTGTTTTAATATGCGATTTCACTCTTTTGCTCTTCTGCTGTATATAATGATTTTATGAATCCAGTTGGAGTAATTTTATGAAAGTATTTAAGGACAATTAATAAGCAAAGAGATTTCTTGATTACACTAATCTAATCGATTGTTTCGCTCCAACGATTTTTGATTTCAGATGCAACAGAAATTGTACAATGAGCTAGAGAATAATGCAGCTCACTACGCAATTTGTTTCATATCACAATTACTCTTAATTATACTCCTAAAAAGACCAGGAATGAAGAAAAATGTTTGAGGGCACGTTTGCATAAAATCAGATTATTTTTAGCTATTAAATACGAAGTATGAAATATAGATAATCTTACTTCTTTCCTTCAGACTTTTACAAATATATATATACAGGGTGATTATAAAATAGTGTGAAGTATTTAGAGCCCTGTAGCGACTAAAGTATAGGACGAAACATAACCAAATTTAATGAGAGTACATAGTGGTCCATGGGTCTTAAAGAAAAAAATGTTGTTGTCTTGTCCATATTACATGGAAAAATGGCTGCTAGAGCCTACTCAGAAGAGAAGTTCCACTTCTATTCCCCTCCCCAAATTTTGAGGGAGCGCACACCTGGGGTCTCCCACTCCTCTCCTCTCCCACCAATCCACACGAAAGGACTTTCGGCGCATATTTAGAGTGCCGCCATGCTGCACTGACACTATACATTTACAAACATCCATGTCTTCTCCGGGATTCGAACCCGGGCCCTTCGGTACCGTAGTAGGCTCCCTTATCCACTATACCGTCTGCGCGACAGTAAAAATGCCATCCGTATTAAACGAATGAAATGTATTAAGTTGCATAATCGCATTCCGTCTACGTTCACGTGTATAAAAGGAAGGGTTGGGAGAATTCTCAGCATTCTGAGGTCAACTGCCTTTTGATGGCTGTCACCTAATGTGACCGTGCTTTGCTAGTCACCATGTATTGTAAGCGGAACTAGAATGCCAGTGATGCCCTTCGTGAGTTTCGGCGATTAAAGAAGTTTCGAAAGAGACCGATGAGCATGACAAATTTAAGGAACATAAATCAGCGATTTCAAACTACAGGAACTTTAGCACAGCAACAAAAACGGAGACGCAAAGCGGATGGTCAGGAACAAGTTGAAGAAGTTGCAACTGCTGTTCTCGAACAGGAGATGGTGTATGTGCAAGGTACTAGCAGTACATGGGCAGTATCCCAGCACACGCAGATCCCAAAATCAACGGTGCGGAAGATCCTGCTTTAGATGTTGAAGTTTCACCCGTCTGATTTTCTGTTCAAGAATTGCTCCTTGACGACGCGGATACCAGATTTGATTTTTCATTTATTTTCTTAGCACACGTGAACGTTCATGGCAGATTTTATGGAGTTACGAAGCCCATTTTCATTTAACAGTGGTATTTACCCACACAACTGCCCCGTTTGGGCTGCGAATAGTCTGCAATTTTATGTGCAGGAATTTCTCCATTCGCCAAAAGTCACAGTGCGGTGTGGCTTTACAAATATTTTACCAAAGGTCCTTACTTTTACGAGCAAAATCGCGAAAGTGGACCAATGAATGTTGACAATTACTGTTGACATGTATGCCGATATGCTACAGAACTTCGTGGTTCCAACACTGCAGCAACGAGGATTTTTTGTTTCGACAGTACTCATACAAAATGGTGCACCAGCCCGCACCAAACTTAAGGTGCAGCGCGTGTTGTAGCAATATTTCTCCCACAGTTGTAATGCCTGGTCCTCCGAAACTGTAACCCTGAAAATAGGGAGCGCCCTGTAGGCGGAAAAAGGGTAAGTTGAAGACTGGTTTTTGGTGGAAGAGGCCGAATGTTCAGTATGCTCAATGTGGTAATTTTATAAATTTAACAATTCTATCAACTGATATATTTCTATTTGTACAAAGTGTACATAGTTTACGTTGAATGTGTGTGAGTAAATTAGTAAGGTAAATCGGAGTCTATTAATTGCGGGCATGACACCAATACCGACCATGGCTGGATCTTACAATGGTATTTCTTAAAGGTGGTTTGTATCAAGGGCATGTCCGCGGTATCACAACTTTGAAAGATCGAATAATCTTACAACTTTGAAAGATCGAATAATCTTACAGGTAAGACAAACTAATTCTGACATGCTGCAAGCCAACATGGGAAGTGTCATGCAATGTATGCACTTTTGTAACAACACAATGGTGGTCATATTAAATCTCATTTGAAAGTAACAATCACTTTTGGTTAAAAACATTTATTTGTGCTCTCTATCGTTTGGCATTTAATCATTCATTATTCCCACTAATGCATTTCTGCAGTGACAACATTTCCTTTGGTGGCGACTTTTCGCACTAACTATTTTGGTAATTGAAACTCATAGTCCACTACGTACGCCCATCAAAATTGGTTATCTTTCGTCCAATACTTTACTCGCTAGAGGACTCTGAATACCTCATGTTATTTTATAATCACCCTGTACATATATATATATTCATTTGTTTACTTACGTAACTTTTTTTTGTTTTTTCTCCTCAAAGAGTCAAGAAGGATGAAACGTGTATTCAGAACACCTTAATTATTTATTCCCGACGGAGGCTAATTATTTACTGTTTTAAATAATTATCCCCTTCGAGTCTCTTTGAAACATTAAATTATAAATAATGAAGGTGCAAATTTTTATAATTGTTTTAAAAAAATAGTTTTATTTTTATTTATTATTATATTAATTTAATTTATTTTAATAATTTAATTTTTAAAATAATTTTACTATTATTATTTTAATTTTATTAAAAATAATTTATTACGTATTTTACAAAAATCTTTGACTAATACCTAGTTCAAAATGCTTAATTTAGTTGCTAATTATTATCTTAACTAATATTACAGTTAAAATGTTTCTCAAATTTTCCACGATAATATATTCCACGATAATCTTTATGATAACTTTTTCATTTTGTTTAATTATTCGTACATATATATTGGGTGCGCTATTCTATTTTTCAGATACCTGTTGCTTCATTTATTTCCTTTTTTGTGCAGAATTTGATGATAGGGAACACAAGTACAAGTGACGGGGTCGTGGGCCCTGTGTCTCTACCATACTGGTTAATCAGTACAGCACCACGTCCACCATTAACTAGAACAGCCCCAGATGTCAAGAGGGGGGCACACTGGCGCCTCGCCGATTTAGTATCGATACTATAATTTCTCTTGCTCAATTCTAGCAATAAAATGTGTGTTTTCTACATCTAAACAGGTGTGTATAAATTATTGCTCATTTCTTTAATACAGAGGTCAAGTTCTAAAATTAAAATTTTGAGTTAGATAACAGGGTAAAAAATATCGGCTAGGTTTAAGCATAATAGATTTTATCTGATCTAACGGAGACATCTGGCACATCTGACACTACTCTACAATGCCGAAAAATCAAGTTTTTCTTCAACTGAAAAGTCTGAACTTCACGTATAACGAGCTAATTGACAAAAATACCGACTCCGTTAGGTCAGAAAAACACACCAATGAGAACGACCCTTTATTGTTCATAAAAAGCCGAGCGAAAGAATCAGTAACGAGATTAAATTATCTCCAAGCCAAATTTACCTAAGCTTATTCAAATTGTCTCAAATAAATTTGCCTAAGCTTATTCTTATATTAATTTTCTTAACTTTCTTAACTTACTATTTCCCCCAAGTTATTGAAAGCAAAAAGAATGAAGCCAGAAATATATGAAGCAAGATTTAATTGCTAGCAGCAACAGACGCTTGTAAAATATTCAATTTTTTGTTAAAATTTATTTCCTTTCATCATGATAATCTTACCCATAAAATATAAATCTAATTCGTAATCTAATCCCATAAAATATAAATCTAACTCGTGGTGCTATTCTTACACTAATTTTTTCAATGCAGTTTGTTTTAATGTTAAATAATGTGTTTATTATAATCATATTTAATGACAGAATTAAAAAATGTAACATTTCGAAACGCGAATGCTATTTTTGTAGAATATGAAATGCGCGTTATGATTCGCAGTTTTCTTTTTCCTGTATACATGTAACTTTTTATAATAGGAAAGAATTCAAAATACTTGCTAGTTTTCGTAGAAAATGGGGGGAAATGAAATTGTTTTATTAAATACAAATTTTAATTTCGCATTAAAAGAAGGATATGCGTAAAGCCAATAAAACTTATATTAATTTTTGAAAAATTGCAAAAACGGATGCAGAAGCAAACGCACAAAATTCAACAGTTCTGAAATAATTAATCTCCACATATGAAACATGAAACTTCACTTATTTATGCTTGCCTAATTTTCTTTTATAATTAAAATTCTTTCAAATATTTATATAATCTTTTCGAAACAAATCGTTTAATCTGAACATTAATTTCCGAGTGTCGAATGGCTGTGGAAAAAAAACAACAATGCCTACAGGGGAGTTATTTTGAAAAGCACAAAAAGGCATGTTCGCCTGGAAAAGCTATTAAGTTCCAAAATAATAAATATTTTCATTTTGTGCCGTAATATATTTTTTGTGATGTCAAACAGATAAGGGATGGCTGCATTGTAAAATAAGTCCAGCTTAAATGAAATTTATTGTGCATTAAACTTCTTTTAGAAGACAGGCCGTCCCTTTTGCTTTTTAGCTCACATTTCTGAACGAACTTAATTATAAAGCGTAGCAACGCAAGGATTATATACTAGCTCTCTTTTGTGCCTCAGGTTAATTTAAATTCGTCATATTTGTTTTTAAAAAACTCATGTTGTTCTTTTGGTTATGCAGTAAATACATTTGAAAATGTCTTATGAAAATGAAATAACTGAACGTAAATATAAATATGACTATTAAGGTAGATTTTTATAGTTTATTATTACATGTAATTATGTCCAAATCTGCAGCATCTAATATTTACAACTCATTCCACTTCTTTTTCTCTGCATAATAACCATTAAGTAAATTTCCTTTACCCTCTTGCTGAATCTTAATATAACCAAAACACGGTTCTGCCTTTGTTTTATTACTCAAATTACAAATTATAAACTTATGCAGAGTATAAATTTATTAAACTATAACATTAAAATAGAAAGCTTAGAAGAGTCATCAAACCGAGTAAGAAGAAGAAATCTTTTGATAACTGTTCACCACCGCAGGGAATATAGTTTTAGTAATAATGGAAAAAGTAATATAATTTTTTTCTGTATTTGCTTAACAACGGAAGTAAAATATTTGCTTTGTCTTATCTGTATCTTTAGCTAAAATCTAACCATGAGGGAATTTCTATCAAAGCAATGAAGCAAACAGTTTTTGTGATTTTAAATGAAAAAAAAAAACTATATTAATACTTACAGTGGGAAGGAATATATTATTATGAATGTATGTATTTCCTGCGAAGTTCTCATCGAGGTATTCAGGAGTGTATCCCGTTGTTCGTTTCTTCGTTCTGTCACTTTTGCTCCGCTGTTTACCAAATTTCCACTGATGAAACGCATACACCATTGTGCCTGAAATTAAAAATAAATCTGTTTTATTACTAATCCAATATTTAATTTAACTCTGAAAAGTGTTATTAATAAAAGCAAGCTACAGTGGTGTAAATACGAAGTGAAGTTTCCTAAAGTAGTATTCATTTATTTTATCTAACCAGATATATTTTATATTCAGTATTTTACTATCATTCTCCCTTTCCGTTTTCCTGTCAGAATGCTAATTTTGTAGGTCGCGCATATTCAAATAAGGTAAAAAGAGATAGCATTTAAAGGAAGGTTTTGGCCTGTTAAATCAGAGCGTGTTCCTCTTGTTGAAAGCCACGTTGCTAGTCACGCTGGCAGATCTGATCCAACTTGCGCCTTATTCATTTCTGTGTAGCCTTTTGGCTAACTTACGACTTAGTTTAGCTTTTATTTGAATTCATCACTTTTGAGTTACGCCATAAATTCTGGCTGGTTTGTAAGCACAAGGAGTGCCTTCTGTTAACTATTTAAGTTAGAAGGGTATTTTACGCACTTCTTACGTTTTCCTATTTTCTTATTGGGAATAGCAATAAGTCGCTTAAATCCATCAAAAATCTCAATTTAATGTATGCTTACTAAGAAGGTAGGACTCTACAAATTTAAAATTAAGATATAGCGATAACTTGTTCTCTTTGGATTCTGATAATGACAGTACAATGAGAATTTTTTACACTATTTCCTACATGTAATTCACCAGTAGTCAGTGCCTATGGTACATTACAGAAAATAGCCACAAATAAGGTTTTTCAACCCCTACAACTTGCCGCTAAAGTAAAACAAGATGCAAAAAGCAAAACAGAAGCTCTAAACACTATCCTATCAAGCTTTGTTAAAAACCAGATGGAATTTGATTTAGTAACTCACAGAGAAATAAGGCAGAAGTTTAATAGGAAAAGCTGGAAAAGCAGCAACAGAGATATTACTCTTCCTACAGACCACGAAGTTCATAATATCATCAAAGCCTTAGCAGACAAAAAAGCACCAGGTCCCGATGGCATAGATAATATCATTGTTAAAGAAATTCACAAATAATTCCCAGGTTTATTTCCAAAACTATGCAGAGCCTGCTGGAGACTCGGTCACTTCCCTAGAAGCATGAAACTAGCCGAAATTGCACTCTTTCACAAGCAGGGCAAAGATCCGTCAGACCCGGCATCTTATAGGCCCATAAGCTTACTGCCTTCAATCAGTAAGATTTTAGAAAAAGTAATTTTGCAACGCCTTAATTTCCACATGTGCAGGAACAAGTCTATAAACGAAAAGCAATATGGCTTCTGCGCAGGAAAGTCCACAGATAATGCCTTAAAACAACTGCTAGATAACATAGATCCCGAGAACGGGCTGGCTGCATGGGCGTTTTCGTGATTTTCCCCATGTGTAACGTGTATACGAGCCAGTTTCCCTTAGAAAGTCCTCCACGAAGGCATCCCTCCCTTTAGGCAGATAGCCCTCGAGGCTTTGCCATAATCACAAATACACATACACATACATAGATAACATAGAGCAGAACAAAGACAACAATATGGACACACTGGTTATTTCGTTGGACATCAAAGGGGCATTCGACTCGTTGTGGTGGCCAGACGTAGTCGAATGCCTAAACATCATCAAATGCCCAAAGGAAATCCTGAATCTTACACGCAGCTACTTGCAGGATCTTTGGATACAGGTTACAACGGACAATGATGTACTCAAAGTCAAGTTGGAAAGAGGCTGTCCCCAGGGTTCCTGCTTGGGACCTACACTTTGGAATCTTGTAGGGAACACAGCCCTTGCGCTCTATGACCAACAGCAAGGAGTGGGTATCCAGGCGTACGCAGACGACTTTTTATTGGTCATTTCTGGTAGCACGGACATTAGTTTAAAGGCACAAAACGCAATCAATACTTTTGCAAGCTGAGCAAATCAGCACAAATTAAATATCTCAGCAGACAAAACTAAGCAACTGTTTATATGTAAGCATGGAGCGCGAAATGTGATTCCCAACATTAAGCTAAATGGAGTCTCTATAAAAAAAAGGTCACTCACCTTAAATATCTAGGTATTATATTTAACAATAGGCTTTCCTGGGTACCACATATTAAAGAGCTGAAGCAGAAAATAAATCAACTTGGTAATTCCATGGTTAGAACATCAGGACCACATTGGGGCACTCCAATCACTATGCTCAAAAGCTGGTACAGAACAATCTCAGAAAAGATCATATTATATGGCGCTGCCATATGGGGAAGGAAGCTTACTGCCTATATGAGGAGGCAGCTTCTCACCATACAAAGAATGAAACTTTTGATGATATGCAAAGGTTATAGAACATCCCCAACTGCGGCACTGCAAGTGCTGGCGGGTATCCCTCCACTGGACCTTCTAGTGGAGAGAGAATCACTGTTAGTAAGGACATTGCGCCTAGAAAATAACGTCTCTCTGTGGCAAAAGACATTCTACCATACAGACTACTCCAAGAAAGAGAAGTGGTTAAAACATGGGAAAGACGACTGGCAGACAAAAAATACCGTCTTTCAGACAGAGCTTCTTGCATTAAAAGCAGCCATCAATTTGGCAAAATATCAATTAGGATTAAAGGTCAACATATATAGCGACTCTGCCTCAAGTTTGGAGTTCATCCGAGGACACAAGACAAGGAGTCCTTTGGTGCAAGATATTCAGAAAATTCTCTTAAGTATCCCACCAGATGACAGACCTATCCTGATCTGAGTTCCAGCTCATGTGGGTATTACTGGCAACGAAGCGGCGGACCTGCTTGCGAAATCTGCTGCCAATGACTCCAGTAGATTGGAAAACGCAGTAAGTGTTCCGCAGTCCTATTTAAAAAAAACCACGCTCAATAGCCTTTTACAAGTATGGCAGAAAAGATGGGAAAAGGAAAGCACAGGAAGGAGAACCTACAAGTTCTTTCCAAAAGTCACGTGCTCAGTTAATACATACAGCGGAGCACAAACTCAATTCTACACTGGCCATGGTCCCTTCCCACATTATCTTAAGAGATTCCGCATACGAGCATCAGATTTGTGTGAATGTGGTGCGGTAGGTGATGCAGATCACTTCTTCTTCAACTGCTCACAAACCGATAAACTGCATTTAAAAATACCAAGCACTGAATACTGGCCGCAATGGGCGGAGAATACCCGCGGCAACAAGGAGACGAAAACTAAAATAGAGGAGGTAATCAGGCTTTGCTCAGCAAGATACTAAGAAATTCTCCCCCTCTTTTGAGATTTGTATCTTCGCAGCATAATTTTAATAGCAATTTAAAATACTACAACAACTGAATATCAACACTAGGAAAATAGCTCACCCCGTAGAATAATAACAGGACTGTAAAACTATTGTAATGTAAGCATATTACTATCCAGTTTGTATGTACTTGATAAAAATAATATTGTAAAGCAGTTTAAATGATATTGAAAATCCAGTCAATGTGTAAATGAATTACAAGTTTAATTTGATTATCTCAGTAAAAGTATTGTAAATATGAATTCATATAATGTTTAAATGTACACATAGCTGTCATGATTTTATGTTCTATCATATGTATCTTGTACAAGACAATGATTTTAATCAACATATCTATGCTTATACACAGGCCTTGTATGCCCATGTAATATTTATATGTATATATTTACACGGAGGAAATTTTCCCTTCTGCCAGGATAACTATTAACACTGTAAGACTTTTACAACAAAGTCAGGTCAGTGGTTATCTCAGGCGGCGCTCAGTAGTCAGTGCAGCTGAATTAAAATAATTTAATTAATTTTTGTAATATAATGATTTTTATAATTTATATATTTTTATAATAATTCAAATAATAATTAAGTTTCGTAAATGAATTTTAATTAATCAACACAAAAATTATCAAAATAAATTGACCCTTAACAGAAAATCAGGTTAAGCCATGTTTAACAAATACAACATTACATTTTTTAAAGAATGTCTCATTTATAATCTCATCATGCATTGAGTAAAATTCAGGCCAATTCCAGTTCGACTAAAAATAGTCTTTAGAAAACGCCATAGAAATCAAAAATATTCATAATAATAATTAAAACATACAGACATATTTCTGCACTTAACATAAGAGTTTTTAATTTTTGTATCAACTTCAGCAAACATATTAAAATAATTCTTTTTTTTTTCTAATCACTCTAAACCTAAACCATAACTTACGTTTTATTAGCTATACAGATATTTCAAAACAAATATACAACAAAGTGTCTTTATGATTAATTGGTAGGGCATTTAGTTCTGATTTTAGAAATGAATCAAATAAGATAGAATTTTTAGAACAATGATAATTTTGTTCAGTGATGCCTTTTAGAAGATATATTGCAAATTAAAGACTTTGTTCAAACCCTCTCGGAAGAAACTTCCAGCTCTTCTTTGCTTTATGAAAAATCTCTAAGGAAACAATCCATTCCAAAATCGAATTGGAAAAAGCTGTCAAGGTAATGGAACTTTCATTTGAAAAATCGAAGACAAATTTCATCGAAATTTCGGATTTTAACATTTCTGCAAATGGTAGTTTTCAGGCAGAAATTCTAATTGGTGTTTTTCTAACATAAAAGAAAGTGCTTCAGAAATATGTTCAAAAATTTTAAATGGGTAGCTATCTATAGCAACACTTATAACACAAGATTTTAAAGATTACATAAAAATAGACTTCTTGTTTTGAAAGAATCGGGTATGAAAAAGTACTTTTCTTTAAAATGTTTTTTACGAATCTTACAGAAATATAATTTTTGTAAGTTTTTATTAAAAGATGTTGCACTTAAAAAAGTTCTTTATCTAAGAATCTAACTCATTGCTTCCTTTTTTCAAAATATAATCACAGATATATAGCCAATTTATTAAGAGATATTTAACAGTAAAGTTTTTTGGAACGCCGTACATCAGCTTTTCTCAATTTATTGTCAGCGAACCACAAGTGAATCTGGAAGCCTGCCATTTTGAGCCTATGTTTATATATTTTATGTTTCCAAAAAATATTAAAATGTAAAATTCGGATGGGGCTTGTGCGCTGTCTGGTAGGCATAGTGGTATTGTAACTAAAATTAAAGCTATGGCACCTCATGTTACCTGGACCAATTGTTACATTCACAGCGAAGTTTTGTTCATGAAAGGCATGTCATCTAAATTCAAAACCGTGTTAGAAACGCACCATTTAGATAACCAACAGTGTTAAAGCGAAACCTCTAACAACGAAATACTTTCATGACTTTTTGAGGGCAAGGGTAATGAGCACAAACAGCCTCAAGTTAATTGTTTTTCGCTGGAAAGGCTCTTTGAATTAAAGCAGAAAGTCCTGCTATTTGTAAATGAAATTAACGAAGTTTTACTTCTTTTCATACTAATGACTTGTGGGTGCTAAGTACATTGGCGTATCTTTCAGATGAATTCAAAAACTAAAAAATTTAAATCTTTTATATAATCTACAAGATAATTCTTTGATTCTCTATTTTTTAACTTCTGTTGGGAAATAAAGGGGCTTGTTGGTTATTTGCATGAAACAGCGAAATTTTTCCCCATTTCTAGACCACCATTTTAGTTTTTCACCATTTTAGTTGAAAATGATATCATTATTGGAAAAGAATTATGCAGGATCATGTTCGCATCTCGAAACTCTGAGGTTTCAGTTTGAAATTAGTTTCCAGATGGTAAGTATGTATAATTAAGTTTCATGGATTTGGGAGCCTTTTCACGGTGCTACTAAAAATAACAAACTGTCATTTGAACAGTCAAAAGAGAACAATTAGACTTGCAAATGACACTGGGCTCAAAATGAAATTCCACGCAGACGATATGGTTAATTTTGGGACCTCATTTCCGACGAAAACGCAATATGATGAGCAGTACAATGGGCTCTTTAAAAACATTTATTCAGTTTGCTTCTACGTATATGTGGGAGGATATTCATCATTAACTCAGATAAAAACAAAGTATCGAAATCAACTTGATGTATACGCTGATCTCTGGCTTAAACTTGCTTGTATATATCCAAACATACAGCAGGTGAATAAGAATCCGCAAGGCTCAACTATGTCAATAATGTGAGTGCTAAAGTTAATTTAATTTACTTCATAAGATAAAGTTTATCGAAACTCTAATAGCTTCAAATTATGTATTAATATCGAATAAAAGTTTTTTATTAACTTATTAGAAACATTCTTTTGTTAACTAAATTACTTAATACCAACATAAAATTAATTTTAATTAATTGTGTTTTTAAAATATAAGTATACTGGTAGTAATATACGCCAAAACTTTTCCTAATGGAACAAGAGTAAGGTGATCCGCATTTAATCCAATTTATTGAAGCGGTCCTCAACTGGAAAAAATTTGAGAAACGCTACTGTATAAGATATGCTAATTATCGCTTTCCTGTTTGTCTAATATAAAATATTTTATTTGAAATCATCCTTCACTTTTACCTTATTAATATTATTTCTATGCTTGAATACATTGAATATAATAATATATACATTCGATTTAAATTGCAACTCTTTGTTAAGTTATCAATTCCATGCTGACAAACTTAGCTCCAAGTTAATTACATCGCCAAATTAATGTACATGATAAGCAGTGATCGAATTTCTGAACATTAAAAACTGAATCAGATCAAAATTATTATTATAAATTTTAATATTAACGTCTCTGTAAAAGTGCCGTTTTCTTTTTCCCTTGACCACTTCCTAGATAAGCGATTTTATAATAACATTCGATTTAATTTTCCATAAAAATTTTAAGACACGTGTTTCTTTCAGGTGCAAGAATTTTAAACTCCGAGTAATAAAGTTACTATATTTTGAAATACCTGACCCATAACTTTATTATCAGATTTTCAAAATTCGTCTTACGCATCAAGGTTGCATATGTCCTCTATGAAATTGACTTGTTTCCTTTGTTCTCAGATGTCACTGGTATGCTGAGAAATGATGAAGACGGCGATCCACATGGAGATCAGTTTGAAGTAGCGAGGCATCTTTGAGTTTCTGACAGCTGCGGACTGCTCCCGTTTTCAGTCACCTGTGCTTGATCAACCCTATAACTAGATGATGCTGCGCAGCATCAAAAAAGGATCATCGAAATTGTGTGGACGAGATGATTCGTGCTAACTGTCGAAGTTAATTAGTGCCAGTGTGTAGAGAAACAGAGGAGAAAAACCTTTCAAGATTTGTTTCTTCGTCTTCAAACGTCCAATAATTGAACTGATTATACGGTGTGGCATTATATGCACAACCGGTTCACTTTAGTCCGATACTTTGACTGACACTTAATGAGGTTTTAATGTTTGCAGCTATTTTTAACTTCGAGGGTCTTCGTCTCCCTAACTTTCAGTGGGACAATTGCGAGACCGTATGCTTCACAAGCTATCCTACATTTCCTCAATACACTTCGACTCCTGTTAGTTCGCGCATTCTCCAAATCTTTCACCAAAGAAAATTGTCTGGTCACTGGTTCTGAGAGATTGGCACGCTACATCTGCCAGTGAAGTACAGACAAAAGTGGGCGGGACACAGGAATTTCACCATTTATTTGTACAGATATTGTCGCATTGTCTTCGGAAAACGGACGACGGTCTCCTACCCCTCTCCCCCTACCACCAACAATTCGAAAGGATTTTCGGCTAGCCAACATTTAAAGTATTCTTCTGCCATATAGACAGCATTCACTTAATTTCATACATGCCTTTTCCGAGATTCGAACCTGGACTCAACGCTATGGCAGCCTACATCGCTAACCGCTATATCTGTTAGGATGGCGGCAACATCCCTCATCCAGGATAATAAAAGAACTCTGGCATAGAAATGAAGCCGAAGAAATGCAGTATCACAAAAAAAAAAAATCTGAATTTGCTCAGTTGAGGCCCCAGCCCTATAAAAGTTTTTATTGTTACCAAAGGCGAATGACTACTCGGGTTACTGATTTCTGTATATTCTCAACATCAAAATTACCTAACATTTTAATTATTTCAGCCTCTCATTAAAACGTATTTGAAAGTAAACATCATTATACTAACGTTGGCATGAATATAACCGCGTGTTTTCAATGGTGTAGTATTTTAACGGCGAGTAGTGTACTTCTATATGAGAGAAGACTTCTAAATAATAAGAGAAACAAAATTTGATTTCTCTTTGGATGAGAGCATTTAAATTTCACTAGTTTGTAACACAAATATAATTCAAGTAATCTTACTTCTTTAAGTGTGCACAAAGGCAAAACATTTTACCAAAAAAGTGGTTCATTTCTTAAACGAACAATGTTCAAAATATTAAAAATACCTTTTTAATCAATCATAAGTGCTATAATTAAAATACGTCAGTTAAAAATTAATTTAATTAAAAAATTCTTCCTATAATCGTAATAAGTATTTAAAATAAGGAAAATTCTTTTAAATTTTTTACTTAAAAACTTTTTGAGTGAATGGTATTGAATAAAAATCTTTTTAACTTTATTTAGATGCTTTCTTTTAATTGACTTTCAGTGCTTTCTTTTAATTGACTTTCAAATTACAATAATGCATTAAAACTTCAGATGTCTTACTTAGAATTAAGCCAAAACGAATGGATGTCAGATACTTTATATAATGTTTTCTTTCCCCTTGCTTTTATTATACTTGGAAAAATGTTTTCATTTAATCTCCAGTTAAACGTTTGGTGTTGGTGTATTTAATTATGGCAAAGCACACGAGGGCTATCTGCCTAAAGGGAGGGATGCCTTTCGTGGAGGACTTTCTAAGGGAAACTGGCTCGTATACACGTTACACATGGGGAAAACCACGAAAACGCCCATGCAGCCAGCCCGTTCGCGGGATTCGAACCTCAGACCGAACTACCAGTGTTCAGCGTCTTTACCGCTCGGCCGCTGGTGGGCAGTTAAACGTTTGAAGAGACAGAAAGTTAGTTTCATTTCCGTTGCCAGTTACATTTTTCTGATAGTATACCACTCCTTTTCTACAGTGAAAAGCATTTATTTCATTAATGTAGATATTAGAACATCTATCTAAAAGAAAACTTTCGAAATCATAAATTCAATTCTGTACATTGACGAAGCCTTTTCATACGTTAATTTCGATCAGTTAAATAATAGAAAATTTATCTTTTTTTATTATAGTTTCTCAAATATACCACAAATTTCCATTTATTAGTAGCTAGTCGTTTTTCATATAGTTTTCTATAGTTGTTCTTTTCTAAGTATGCTTTGGCAAAAGAAGACTACCTTTAGGATTAAATACCCTTTTCAATTTCAGATCTTAGTAATGAATGATTTTATTTACAGTACCAAATGACATTTCCAGTTCCTGTGCCATGAATCTTTAAATCACTGCCTTTTCTTTCAGAGTCTTCACTTTGTTGTTATTTACCTGCGTTCGAACAGTCATAAGATACGGTTTTCTGGCCTTTTTTTTTCATTTTAACTTTTAGCTGGATGTTTTCCTTTACAACCTGAATATATAAAACAAAGCACTTTTTAAAACGCAGTGCATTCGGCTTTTATAGAGTTTATAATTCGCTGATACGAATATATATTTACGTAACCTTCAAGTCCTCTATGAATTTTAGCAGCCATTTCCAAAATAAATCTCTCTCTACATTCCAATCAAAACAAAACAGTATCACACGATTATATTAAAATGCCAAATCTTTATTTATGAATGCTAGAGAAAATTTAAGTAGAGAATATTTTCCATAAAGCCCGAACGACGTTCTGTGTAACAGAAAAAAAAAACGCAGTAATACTGAATACGAGTTTAATTAGATTGGTTACAATTACAGTTCTTAAATTAAATAAAATTATTAAAATTAATTTTATTACATGACCATGTGTTGGTAGGGAGCAAATAACAGGATCTAGTAGATCTTTTAAAAAAGCTCATTTGAAAAAGTTAATTTTATTTAAAATACCCTGAGCGATAAGAAAGCGGATTTCTCGATTCCTTTCCTCATACACTCCTTTTTTTATGATTATAAAAATAGTTATTTTGGGTGGAAGGGGATTTGATGGCCGAGCGCTTTATTTAATAGACATTAGCCTTATACCAGTACAAGGGCCGGAAATGGTAGCCATTTTAAGATTGAAGCATCTAATAGGCGGCCACAGTTGCCTTCTATTAGAGGACGGACAGTTACAACCGCGCCTTCTCCGGAATTCTCCCGAGCCCATCGCTACAGCAGTCAGGGTCTCTAATTCTTATACCGGCTATGTGGCTGATTATAAAAATATCATCTCATCTACAAGAAAAGTATCGCATGGTGACTAATATGTTACGAGTCTTGCTTATCAGTGTTAACAAATACTCTTTCAGCATGATGTCATTGTTATATTTTCATTTCCTCTTGACGTTCAAGAGACGAATTTTAACAACCAGTTCACTATTTCTCAATCTATGGCCCACGAAGCTTACTCTTGTGGTCCTTATAGATTTTCAAAAATTATCAAATATAAAATTCAACTAGTTTCACACACTATAACTGAAATTTATAATTCAGTTCACTTCTAATGCATATATGTGTGAGAAGTAGTTTTTGTTACTAATTCAAATAAAACGAAAGTACAGAAATCGAATACTTAAACTCAAACATAGCTGTGCAAAAATCGGCAGGCTCATTCATAATATTAATGTAAGTTCAAACATTTATTTCATTTTTAGTTAATAAGATAAATAATATCCAAACTCTAATAGACTTAAATTACTAAAAACGAATTTTAATTTCCATCTATTATTAATAAATGCCATCTATTATCTAATAACTTCCATCTATTATTGATAATTATTTAATGCCAATATAAAATGAAATGAATTTTATGTAATTGTATTTTAACAATTACTGGTAATATTTATAAAAGTGGCTCTTACTTGAGAAATAGTGAACTAATATGTATGCTATAAAAATGCTTAGTACTCCAAAAATTTTGAAATCAATTACACGAAAAAAACTAAATAGCCGAAACGTATAGTATATAAAGTGGTATCTGAAAAAGATGAATGACAATTCATCTTGTGAATACTTAACGTCTAAAACGAATTTCTAGTTTTTATCAAGATGCGAGTACATTTCAGGAAAGACTGATTTTTAAACTGATATGCATTCAAATGCTACCTTCTAGCGTTTTAAATTATTTCACAAAAATTATTTTTATGCAATTTTAAATGAGATTTGAATAATTAAATAACGAAAGAAGCGAAGAAACATTTCGACTCTATTTTAGTATACTTTCTTTCGCTTCATTTTCTACCGCATACAAATTGCTTTCACAAAATTTATTAAGCAGAAAAAACTTGAATATATGTTTTCTAAATTTAAGTGTTTACATTTTTTAATGCCTATGGATTTGAAATTCAAGCAAGGTACATCTAAATCCGTATCTTTAATTATAATTCCAGTAATCACTACCTGGAAGTAAGCAATCTAGTTATTAAAAGAAGCGAAATATGGTAGGTAACAAAATTTCATTTCGAATGTTAATCACAAGGGAATGGAAGAGAAACAAATCCTTTATTTTTTCAACTATATACAATAAAATAAATTATAGCTATAGCTAAGTTTAAAAAGAGACATGTAAATTTAAAATCAGAACTCAGTTTACTTTAGTTGCTACTGTTTCCAAAAAATGTTTCTGGCATTGTTGTATTTTTTAATAAAATACAATTCTTGTGATATTAAGGTCAAAATTAAAATTTCAATACGAAAGGAATGCGTTTTTAATCAAATACAGCAAACATTATTAAAAATGCATTCATTCACTTACGACTTCTGATTGTTTATATGGAATTGAAACTAGTTGATTTACAGTTAATTAACATCACATAAATCTTTCCAGTTATATTTTCTAAAATATCGTAATTTAATTCCGTTTTGTTTTAGCCACCGCTCATTATTTTGCATCTACCAATCTCATTTACTTTAATTCTAACTTGTCGTCATTTAGAGAAAGATTACGCGTGACTGTATGCCATTATTTTCATCCATTGTTTCTTCGTTCTTGTCTCTCATAAATAAATGAATACAAGTCGTTACTGCTTAAAATAAAATATTTTCAGAAATTAAAATGCAAGAATCTAATTAACTAAAAAACTGAAATTTTAACTATCGCTTTCTCTGCTACTAGGAAATGGGATGATATTGACAGACAGAGTTATCGATGTTATCCCATTATGTTAAATGTTAAAAATTATCAATGCGCCCCTGTTCTCAGATATCTAACTCCGTTTCAACTTTTATCTAAAGTTTGCTGAAATAAATGGCAATACACAGCACTTCTGGAAATTACTAAATCGTAATTTATATATATTTTAGTTTACAAAGAAGCAAATGCTATTTTTTGCTAGGTTCCATGTACCGAATTAAATGTCAATTTTAATATTTTCTCTTAATTTATTATTCTCACGCGTTTAAATCTGAGCACTGGTTTAGCGAGCTACGTTATTGCTGCGTGCAAAACATAATATGGTCAATAACATAAATCAAAGTCTTGATTTACAACAAAGGGATGAATATATATATATATACTGCAGTTCCACACTAAAAGCAATTTAATTTACTGACTATTCATCTGTAATAATTCATCTTTTCAGATTTTACAAATAAGAATTTATTAAGAAGCTATGAAATTTTATGAACGTCTGAAAGAGACCATGGAATGATGTTAAGAGCAAATACAAAATTAGTTTTAAGATTCATCAGAAGATAACGGATTGCTAAAAAATGGCTTTGAGCACCAATTTAAGGTAAATGGTTATGAACGGAGGAGAATAATTCTTTATGAAGAATATTGTTGCAAGACTCTTGCGTGCCTACAACGTTAGAATGATGAATTTCTGCAAACTCGATTCATTCATATCGAATAGCAAAGCTTGTCAAAGCAACAGTGGAATCGATCTTTCCCAGGAAACGAAAGGTCTGAGGATGAATGGCGCAGGAACCCTACGCTACACTGTTAGTTTAGATAACTTTAACGAAACTTCAATGAAAGAATTGGGAATTTTCTGCAGTTCATATTATAAGGTATTTCTCCCACTTTCCTAGTGTCCTTCGTGGTGTAACGGTAGCACGCTGGGCCGGTATTCCAGAGGTCTGTGGTTCTATTCCCGGCGAAGGCGGTTGCATATTTTTCATCTTTTCTGCTTCCAATTAACCTAACGACTCTACAATATGGCACAATTACGTACTGACTGTGGCATCTAAATTAAATTTTTGCTTGCTTGTCCATAGAATATTCCAGTGCTATTTAGTGTCAAACTCGAAACGAGCAAGGAGCTGCAATGACATATTCTAACGTGC